GGGGTTTTTTAAGAGAAGAGTTCTCACTATGTTGCCCAGACTATGTGCATTCAGGAGTAAAACCCAGCATACAGATCTCCAACCCCATACCCGGATTTCTTTACCACCCTTCCCAGGACAGACAGGAGACCAAGGGAGAGCAGGCATCATTTCTCTCTGTACAGTTTTCAATTTTTTATTTTTTGATGTTTTTTGTTCAGATGAATGACACACTCAAGTTACAAAAATGGGGCCTTAAAAGAAGCACATTGTACAATGAACAAGCAGATTGGAGTTAAGAACACTGAAACACTAATCCGCTACCACGAGAAGAGACAGGGAGTAGGCACAGGAAGAGAAGGAAGGGGCTACCAACACAGGGGTCAGACGGAACTGAAAAGTAGGCAAACTTGGTGAGGATAGAGGAAAGGCAGGTCTACTCTGGGGCTGATTTCTGGATGCCACTTTTGGGCACCCTTGCCTTGTACTTGCCACCCCCTCCAACTCCACTCACCCCCATTGTGTCTGACCTGGTTATTCTGGGAGGTGAGAGATACCCACACCAAAATGGGCTGAGCCAATCAGGTCTTTACAAGGTAGGGTGGTCAACTTACCCTAGTGCAGCCCAGGATTTGGAAGGTGATGGTGGCAGCAGTGGGACAAGAGGCCAGAAAGGAGCTGATCAAAGTTCAGGTCCCTGCTCTTCCCAAAGACTTCTTGCCCTTTCCCCACCCCACCATGATCCAAAGGCCCTCTACGAGTTGTCGAGAGAGACCCCCAGTCACCCTGCAATTATATAAATAAATAAATACTGAGCCCCTGGGTTTGGGGGACAGGTTGGGGGAGGGGCAGCAAGGATAGAAGACAGGAAAAAGGAAGGGGAGGGAGGCAGAGGAAAGAGGTCACAGACAAAGTAAATAGTTGTCTCCGTCCCAGCAATACTTCTCTCTGGATTTTTCTCTCCTTTTCTTGTTTGTTTAACAAGGAGCTAACAATTCAAGGACAAATACTTAAAAATATACATTATTTTTTCTTTGTTTCTGCTTTTGTCATCGTCGTCTTGCTTTGGAGACTGCTGAGGTCAAAGTTTAAACCGCATGAAGGACCTGCGGCTTGGAGTTTTTGTGTATTTTTTTTTTTATTTTAATTTTTAAATTTTTTTCACTTTTTTTTCCAACGTATAAAAAGGTAGCGGAGTTGTCTGTGGGTTTTTTTTTTTTTTTTAATGGTTAAATCTTTGGTTTGTTTCTTTTTTCTCTTGGAGGCCTTTATCTCTCGCACTTGCCTTTCCCACTCAGAGACCAGTGGGGGCCCGTGTGTCTCAATCTTGCTGTCTGTCTCACTCTCTCTCTCACTCAGGTCCCCCTACCCTGGGCTAGAGGAAGAGAGAAGCACCCTGGGATTCGGGTGGGTTAGAAAAACTAGTCAGGTCAAGAGTTCACCCTGACTTGGCTAGTTCCTTGCCAAATCTCCCCAGGGCTTGGAGAGCCTGTCATGGTCTTCTCCAGGGAGGAGATGGGTGGAAAGCTCATATCCTTCCCCTCCTCCTGATCACAGCCCCAACTCCTACTGTGGCTTAGGTTCCCCATCCCTACCAGCCCCCCCCCCCCGCACTCCCCCAACCCCCAGAAGAGAACAGAGAGAGGTGGTTTAGTTACTGGCATCAATTTTTTTTTTGGCACAATGAAAAGGCCTACCATTAAGGTAGACCCAGTCTCTGTCCCTCCCTTAAGTAGGAGGTCAGGGTTGGGGAGAAGAGAAATTCAGAAGGCTCCCCACTGCTCCAATCCACTCATCTCTCCTCTCTTTCTAGCCCAGGCCCTCAGCCCCCAACCTGGGACATCTAACCTAGCCCAGAGCCTAGCCTGGGGTTTCCCTCCCCATCCCCCACATAAAGCTCCCCAGCCCTCGAACTCTCTCGCTCACACACAGACACACGGACACAGGCTCTGTACAGACCGCAACATAAAAACGATGAGATAGTTTTGTTTCCCGGAGTCGAGACGGGGGACCCGAGTGGAAGGGACAGATGGGGGTGGGGGGCATGAATTCCCCCATCACCTTCCCAATCCTGGCTCCCTCCAGCCCCCCAGCCCCTTGCCCTGGCTGGCCCCCAGCCAACGATATTTGGTTTCCTTTTTTTAACATTAAAGTTCTATGAGGTATTTGGTGCCTTATCTCGAGTCCTCGGGGGAGGGGGGCCCAGGGGGAGACCTGGGGCTTACCTGCCCCTCCCTCCCTCCTACCCCCTTCCCAATATTTGGTTTCACAGCTGTAGTTAAAGCTTGGGATTTGGTTATTTTTCCCCCTCCCAGGAATTTTCTTTTTTCTTGTTTTTCTTTTCCCAGTTGTGAGGATTGGATGGGGAGGGTCCCCAGCACCCCGGCTGCACAGGGGTCCCTCCACCAATGTCAGGGCTTCTGCCCCATCCCTGCCTCCTGCTCCTCCTCTTCTCTTTGCCCCACTCCCCAACACTGGGGTGCGGAGAAGTCCCAGGTGGTGGGACTTGATGGGGAGGAAGCAGGATGAAGTGGGTGGTGGTTGAGTCCTGGATTTTCTTTCCTTTTTTTTTTCCTTTTTGGTCTAGAATCATAGTTTTTGAGTCATCTCCACCATGCCTTCCATGCTGCCTGTCTTCTCGGAGGGGGTTTTGGTTGTAATTCCTTTCATTTTGCTCTGCTCACATGTCCTTCCTATTTGGTCAGGAGCCCTTGGCCCCCTCTCCACCCTTGGGCTGGGGCCCAAGCCCTCTTGCCAGTCCCTTCTCTCTTCAGGAAATAAACATGGACAAACTCAGAGGTAGGGTAAGGGCACGGAGTCATTCGGCAGAGATGCTTACATTCCGGCGAGGATGGGTCGACGAGGTGCTAGGCCCCATCGTGCCAGGGGTTGGGGGGCGACCACTCCACCACTGCCCGGACAAGGCACCCGGAGGCCCCTGCAATGGCCGAGTCTCTGCTGCCTCCATGGCCCAGCCCAACAGTTTCATTTCCCAGGTGGGAGAAGGGAGACAAGAAAAAAAGAACGCTGAGGCCTGGGGCTCCATCTGCCTCTCCTCAAGAGTGTCCAGGAGAAAGTGGAAGCTGCCCAGGCCACGGCCCTGCAGTCTCAGGGCTCTCCCCTCCCTCTGCTCCTGCCCAGTGAGGGGCGGGGGCCACACTGCGCTGCCAGGCCCCACCCTGATTTCAATGGCTCGCGTCCTTCACTGCAACACTTTGGTTTGAGGAGAGACACAGAAAGAACAAGATTGAGAGAGGAGAGAGGAGAGCAAAGGGAGAGAGGAAGGAGGGAAGGAGAGAGGACAGACAGAAGAGAACCGAAAAAGAAATCAAAGGAGGAATCAAACCACCCGAAAGTTGTTTTCCTTCGTCCGTTCTTTTTGCTTACTCCTTTTTTTCCTTTCTTTTTTTTAAAGCTTTTTCAGTTAATTGCGGGGGGTAGTTTAGGGCTCTTCACCCCTGTCCCTGACACCCTCTCAGCCCCACCCACCCACTTCCATCTGCCCTGGCCGAGGGACTGGCTTGCCCCAGCCGCCCCCTCCGACTTTCCCAAAGACGACGTCCATGAGGTATTTGTGAAGAGAAAGAAGCATTCGTCCTTCTGTCCGCGTTGGGGACCAAGGGCCTGGACCACCAGTGCAGGGGCTTGGCTCCGCCTCACGGCTCTATCTTATTCTTGAAGAGTCCTCATCTTCTTTCCCTTTTATATATATATATAAATTCTTTTTTTCTAGTTTAAATTTATTGTTTGTTTGGTTTTGTTTTTGTTTTTTGGTTCAAAACTTTGTTGGCCTCCACAATAGCAGGAGGGCAGGGTGGCTCCCAGTGGCGTCTCTCCTCTGTCCGTCGTCAGTGGAGATGTGTCCGGGGCTGGGCAAACACAGGGTCCAGCCAAGACTCATGGAGGTCTCATGGGAGTAGTGGCCACCACCATGCCTTTTCACATAGGGACCACAGGCTGTGGCACTGTCCCCACACATAGACCCTGATGGGGATGCCATCTCGAGGAACCCCACCACTGGGGTGTGTGCGTGTGTGCATGTGTGGGGAGGGAGAGGCATTCGCCAGTACCAGAGGGGCACGGGATGGGAAAAGCGAGGCGAGTTCTCTTTTTGGTTTCTGGTTAATGTCAAAGAATGTGAAGGATCCCACGGATAGGCACTGGAATATGAATTTTCTTTTTTAGGGAAACTGACAGACAGGATGGAAAAAGACAACTGAATGCCCTCAACTTGAATGCCTTCATCCCCTCTTGCCTGAAACTTCCACCTTCCCATAGGCTGGGGAGGCGGTTGATTCCAGAGCAGAGGAGGGTGACAGGGTTGAGGAGGGACTTGTGAGAGCTAGAACTTGGCAAAATGGCCTAGCTCACCCTTCAAAGGGGAAAGAGGGAGGAAGAGGGGATGAAAAGTCATCCCCAGGCCTTCCCTTTAACTCTCCCCTTGCTGGGGGGAGGGAGGAGGTTAAAGCAAGACCCCCTGCCCAGGTGGGGAGAGCTGGGGGCCAGGGGAGAAGGGGACACATGGTAGGGACACATTCTGTTGAGCACAACGCTAAAAATTCTGTACATCCTTTGGATGAAGCTACTGAATATTTGGTGTAAGGTTGTTCAGGCCCTTTCTCTTTCACCTTCCGGAAAAGAACATTTGGCGGGTGGTGCCGAGCCCCAGCCCATCTGCCCAGACTGTGCCCTGTCTTCGCTGGTCCAGGGCTGGGGGCCAGGACTAGGAAGCTGGCATCTTCTCTTTTTCCTTCTGTAGCCCCCACTGGGGGAGGCAGGGTTCGGGGTTGGCCCCACAACCAGGGCTCGGTGGCAATGAGGTCTGACCTGCTGGAGGCTTCTCCGCCCCTGGCTGGGGTTCTTATTTGGTGTCGTAGCAGTGAGGGTGTGAGCACACTGAGGTCTGGCTCGCG